ATTGTTAATTTATGTGATATTTTACAAGTATTTTTATAAATTTCTCAACTCTATTGGAAGCATAGGATGTTTATATGTTATATGCATTTTATTGACAGAAATTTGATTGGCCTTAACCCTGTAAGACTATAGTCATTACGGCCTCTGTAGTCAAATACAGACTACCCGATTTTTTTTTTCTTTTTTTACTTTTTTAAAAAAATATTTTTTATTTTAATGAAAGTTTATAGAGACTTTGGATTTCCATTCATTCATTGTTGCACGGACTACCCTATTTTAAAATATCAAGTTCTACTTAATAATATATCTTTAGTGTGCTTAGTATTTTGGAATGCAATTTGACATAGTACCATACTTATATATATTGAGGCCACATCAGTATGCCCTGATAACTGAAAAATAACAGATATAGTGACTTTCAAGTAGAATTTTCTTTTAATTATCAGATTTTTTTTCAGTCTAAATGTTTTTTTAGTCTAATTTTTAAACTTCAGTGACCATCTATCAAATCTCTAAGCATTTGTGTTTGACATGGTATGTGATCTTAAATATGTTAGCCATTATGTATTCTAGAGAGGATTTCGTTTAGGAGCATATGGAGACTTCAAGAAGGAGCAGAACTATAATTTCACTTAATGCTTTTTTTGTGTGTGTGTGTGTATGTGTGTCTGTGTACCGTCAGATCATATCTGACTGGTACAGGAGGAGATTTTTCCTCCTTTCCCAGCAGAGCATCTGGTGGATTTGAACCATGCATCTCTAGGATTGCAGTGCAGCTTCTTGCCACTAGGCCACCAGAGCTCCCCTTCACTTAATGCTTTTACATATAAAATTCAAAGTCCTTAGAACCATCTCAGAAGCCTGTCATATAATTTTAAAATTTCATTAAAATTGATATAGTCAGATAGTAATTCCTACAGGTAGCACTTTTTTTTTTTACTTTCTGTTCTTAATTGATTATATAATACAAGTTACAAAATATTTTACATAAGGTCATTTGTGTTATCCTAGGCTCTTTATTAAAACGCTTGATAATGGACTTTTTTTTTATACATTAATTTTTTAAATTATAAGGAAACTGTCCTCTTTTTGAAAAATGGAATACTAGAGCTGATCAAGTAGAGGCTTTTTTATTTCTCAGACTGTTTTCTGTCTGAGAAAATTGTAAGAATATTTCCAAGTACAGGGTGAGATTTTAAAAGCAATTATATGTATTATACATATATAATTGATGTGTCTATGTTAATTTTTAATATAATTTAACAGTTAAGAAATACTCTTCCTTATTCAGTGTTCTTACTATTTCTTTTGAGTCCCAAAATTAGCTTCACTAACTGGTTAAGTAAGATCAACAACCTTTTTTAATTTATCCCAGTTTAATTCCTTAGATTCGTCATTGGCCTTTCACATTACTAACGGCTTTGGAAACACTGTTTCTAAAGCATATTTGCTGCTCAAAGTTTATCTCAGAATAATTATTCTTGTTGGACTTAGTGAGGAAGTACCAAAATGGAAGAGTCACTAATGTAACATGTATTTTGTACTTTGTGTAAAATGGGATGAAACAGTATTGTCCTCTGTAATTTTAGGTCCAGATCCTTGAGCGAGCACTTTATCCAGTTTGAGCCTAGAAGTAAGCCCCCTGAAAAGAACCTTTGACTTCAAAATTTATAATTAAGTATGCTTCAGTTCCTTAAATGGGCCAGAACAGGCTATATTACCACAAGGCATTTGTTTTAGATGGCACAAATATTTGCCCATACCAAGAAATAACTAGGATTTATTTCCTGTAGGAGTCCATTCTATTCCTTCATTCCTCTGTTTGGTTAGTGGACTTGAAAACACACTCAGTAACCGTTCTCTCTCTACTCCACAGTGTAGGCTGTTAGTGCATGCCGTATAAATGAGTTAGTGATAATTTTTTTTTTCACACCAAAAACTCATCAATTCATAGCTGATCTTTCAGCTTATAGCCAACCCTCTAGGGAGTTTTCAAAGGCTATAAATCACACAGAAGAGATTGTCCATCTTTCTCCCACAGAACAACTGAGGGACTCAAACCATTCACCTTTAGGAGCACAACTCCCTGTCCACTAAGCCTCCAGACTTAGTGATGTCTGTATGGGAGCTCTGGTAGTATATAGTCTGCAGAGAGTTGCATTCTAACCAAAATTGGCACCTGAATTCAATAACCACTTCACAGGAAAAAGATGACACAAAGATCTTCCATGTTGTTTACAGCCTCCAAAAATCCACTGGAGGGTCAGCTACGAATTGGTTCCAACTCAACAGCAATGAGTGTTAGGTGTTGATATTGTTAACAGTAATATTAAAAGAAGAGTTTCCTAGTAGACAATTAAAGGGGCCATTTCAGGTGCTGCCCAAAGAACATAATTACAGAGCTGTTTTACTTAAAACAGCTCGCCAACTTTTTAAAAGCAAACAAAAAGCCCACTGCTTTTGAGTCTGTTCTGATTCACAGGACTCTGTTCTGTTTCCATGGCTATGAATCTTTGAGAGGAAATGGCCCATCTTTCTGCTTCAGAACAGTTTATTTGAACTGCTGACCCTTCAGTTAGCAGCCAAGTACATCACCCATTACACCATTTGAATGTCATTCACCACGTTTACTGCCTTTAAATTTTGTTATAGCTATACTACTAACTTTTGAAGCTTATCCTTTATCCTGTGAATTACAAGAGGAGGGAGCCAACTGGTGATGGATATCGGATCAGTGAGATATCAGATCTGTAAAATTTTGCCATAAAGAATTGCCCTGTGATTATGATATAAACATGTCGAAACTTCTAAGGCTATCAAAATACTGAATTCAAGATGGAAAATTAATAGTAGGGTACATACATTTGCATGAATGTTGAGCTGTCTGTGTTTACAAATAGGTCTGTGTGTTTTGTGCTCTGAGCAATGTTGTCACAGTGCTGTCTGTAAACTGCTGCATCAGAGTTGGGGAATGGAATGGGATTCTCTTATATGGGTACATTTATGTTAAGTTGTAAATTATGATGTAGTGTGGGAAACTGTGATATTTTAAGTGATCATTGCCTTTTCTGCTGTACAATATGACCCTTCTCATCTCTCTCATTCATTTTGCATGCCTCTGCTCACTTCTGTACAGCCACAGTTGAGGCAATTGAGGCTGAAAAAGGTACGATCAGAGTCCTTACGCTGGGCAGAGATCTGTGGTGTGTGGGTGGGCACTAGAGAATGTCCTGTGGGTGTGTCTTACTCCTTGTTTGTACAGCCCAAGATGAATCAGACTGACTGACTCACCAAATTCCTTTTCTTAAAAAAAATACACATAAGAATTTATGTCCATAGTGACAGTCTGGTATTTACTCTCTGTGTGCAATTCACATTTAATCTTGTTTTCTTCATAGTAGTACAGCATGTTATACTATATTTTTAAAGTTGGCTATTTCAATGGAAATGGCTAAAATGGCCTTGACAAATGGTGACGATTTTTTTCTTATTTTGCATGAGTCTCTGCTACACAGAATTTTTTTTCCCCTAAGTAAAATCACTTGTAGGCTTGGTGTGAATTTGCCTTTACTTATTTTCAGTAAAGCACATGAGAGTGCTAGAGCTGTTACTATGATGTTGGGAGTTTTTTTCCTTCCTGTTTTTTAAAATTTTGCTTCCATTTGGACTATAGCTTGCTAATAAGATAGTATTTAAGTATTTCGCATACTCGCTTAATACACATTGCTGAGTGTTTTACTGCCCAGCTGTCTAGTTCACATGCACAGACTTCCAGGAATTTCACATATTATGCAACTGATTATAGGAACTAGTACTGTGAAAGTCTTTTTTTTTCTATGAGGATTTAATAATAGTTGAGGATGCATCATTCCAGATAAAGTGAATTAAAAAACCTACTATTTGCAATAGGATTGCCGTTTATTTTGAGTTTCCATGGAACATGTCTGTGACCAGTGAATTAAGAATGATACCTACTAAAATATGAAACTATAAAATACTTGTGCTGTCAGCTAAATATAGATCTAACTTTTGGAGGTGTTTTCCACCTTTTTCATTTCCTGATGGTGACGGGGTGATAACACCTTTACCTCCAGAATAGTTCTAATCGCTTACATTCCAACTTGATCTCTTTGGTACTGATAGTTGCTACTGATACTGAGTATTAATCTTGTTTAGTCTACCCTTATACTTTCTTTGATAGTTACTGGTAAAATTGGGGTGGGAGGCAGTACTCTACTGGTGTAGAAGTCAGACTGAAACCCTGGGGCTGTTATCTGGAGGCTGACTTTGGAGAGAGTTATTTTTATGTTTTTTTAAAGGCTCTGGTAACGCTCATCCTTTATTAAGCTATCATTTTTATGCTTATGTTTAAACATTTCACATTTTAAGTCTAGGATAGGGATAGATAAAATTCAGTTAAAGACTTAATTGTTGCTACTTAGGGCTAATTTCTGTCTTCTTAAGTATTATGTTATTGAAATACCAGAAATGTTTTTCAGTTACTGACTTATTCAAATTTGCATTTTGTTAAGCAATACGAGGATTCTCTCCACCACATAGAATCTGCAGTTTTGAAGAGGCAAAGGGTTTGGATAGGATCAATGAGAGAATGCCACCCCGGAAAGATGCTGTACAGCAAGATGGTTTCAATTCTCTGAACACCGCACATGCCACTGAGAACCATGGGACTGGCAACCATAGTGCCCAGTGACCCACAGCTTCCCAGGGACTCTCACATCTCGGGCCTCAAATGGACAGATCACCCGAGGAGCTGGAGGGGTCAACCAAGCAGACTGTAAATGTCAACAGTCCCTCTGGAGAAACCATTGTGCTTTTGAGACCCCCAACCCTCTTCCTGGATGGAGGCTTGAGGGCCCTGGGAGTTGTTGCATCATCTGATAAGACTGGGTTATCGCTGCCAAGATGGAGAACAGAGAGCAAGGAGCAAGGGGCTTGGGGCAATTTCCATTGGAGAGTGTCTACACCTCCATTTATTCTTGTGGTTCACACATTAAGTTTACAAATGATATTTCTTTTCCCCTTAGTAGAATTAGATATTGTTTTAACCACCATGACTTCAAATACTATGTTAAGAGCTAATGTGGACTTTTCTTTTTTGCCATGAAATGTCTTTAAAGGATGAATTAGCACTGTTTTAAAATATCTCTGAAGCTACGAAGCTGTGTTTTGCATTATGGACAAAATGCTAAGAAAACCCATTGACATTTATACAGAATGCTGACCTCAGGTCTTTAGTTCTTAAATGTGGCTAATTCTGTAATATAGTGTTGGTATTTTTCAATTATGAATACATAACCTATTTATAGACAGAATTCTTTTACTTGAACACAAATCCAAAAACTAACTTAAGGTCTTTTTGCCCAGATCTTTTGAAATTTACACCCAGTGTTTTAAGAAGAAAACTTAAGTTTCAAAAATACAAAAAATTACAGAATTACTCATTTAAGGTACTTTAAAAGAAGTTTGTACATTGTCAAAGTAAATTTTAATTCAAATCATGTCTGTAAAACTTGATGTATTTTTGTGTATGCATGTTTTCATTTTGCAAATATTTAATATATAGACCTATGATGTACAGATATGACATGTATAGGTTGCCTAGATGTTATGAGAAATTTTAGTTTATCGTGAGTACTCAAGTTGCTTAGATAGCCAACAGGGTGATTTGCTGCTGGCTTACTCATTTTTATGTTTTAATGCAAAGGAAATTTTAAAATGTTCTGGAAGTGTTTTTGATTAAGCAGTGCAGCAGCAAGCATAGAAGCAACAGTTCTGTTCAATCTTTCAGGTGTTAGTGGAAGCATACAAGTCAAGACTGCATGCTGGATTTTTAATTTTGATAGTTACAGAACTGCTTGGTTAAACTAAATGGAACCATGTGCTCATTTTTCACAATTATTGACCTGTATCAATTGCCACTGTAGTTTGGTATTTTCCTTTACTTTGGTGACCTGCTTCCATCATGCCCTGGAAAGCAACTCAGAGCTCCAGGCGGCGGAACCATCTATTGTTTTGTTTGCCAGAAAGTGCACCCTGTATGGTCTCCCTTCTGAGTTGGAACTATTATGCATGTGCAGGATTATTCAAATATTTTATAAACAGTATCACACAATAAATTCCATGCATGGGCCGCTGCTCCTATCTCTGTGTTGGGTTTTATTTGTAATCTTATAAGGTGCAATCTGATCTGACCTCATGACAATGAGAACATCTTGTTAATAATACTGGGATATATACCTGGGATATGTAGATTCTAGTCTAATAATTCATAATAATTTGCTGAGTCAAGCTCTTCTCTTTTTTCTAAATTTTTGTTACATTTTTCAAACGTCTGTTTTAGTAACAGTCCTAGATATCTAGTACAAGCCCCCTAAATCTGAAATCACTAACTTCACCTAACTTTTTATTGAAAAAATATGCATTGTATTTTATTTAGGATTTTGTTATAGCAGTATTCAGATTTTATTGGGTGTTCTAACAATAAGCAAAAAAAAAATACTCGCAACCTTACCTTTTGCTTTTTGGGTTGTTGTTTTTTTAAAATTTTTTATTATTTTGTCTGTGTGTACTATCAAATCGGGTCTGACTGGTATAGGAGGAGATTGTCTCTCCTTCTCCAGCAAAGGATCTGGTGGATTCAAACTGCATACCTCTGGGATTGCAGTGCAGCTTCTTGCCACTAGGCCACCAGAGCTCCCTTAACATTGCCTTTTTGATCCATGTTACCTTTATCAAGATAGAACAAGTGTAGGGTTTTGTATGTTGAGGAAATTAGGACATTGCTCAACCTTTTATAATAATGATAATTTTATAGTAAAAGTTGCTTACTACTAGTTCATGAGCCTATTAATATAATCCTCTGTCTATAAATGACCATGCACAGCATATTTTAAAGAATGTTGATTTTCTTTTTTTTTTTATGAAGGCTATGTTCCTAACTTGAGAACTTAACTAGTAGATAAGAATACCAAGAACTTCTTAGCCTTTAGGACCATTACAAGGGTTTAAGACTATCAAGAGAGGATAAAATAGATGAATGGGACCTTCTAAGAATCAAACCCCTATGCACATCCAAACTTCTCCAACGGTAAAACGGGAAGCCACAGACTGGGAAAATGATTTGGTAATGACATGTCAGATAAGGGACTTATATCTAGAATTTATAAAATACTTGAGCACCACAAGAAGATAAAGGAAAACAACCCAGTTGAAAAATGGGCACAGGATATGGAACAGACACTTCACCAAAGAAAACATTCAGATGGCAAGCAAGCACATGAAGAAATGTTCAAAATTCCTATCTCTAAGGGAGATGCAAATCAAAACAACTACGAGATATCATCTCACCCCAGTAAGAATAGCAAAATTTAACAGAACAGCAAACAACTAATCAAATCAAATGCTGGTGAGGTTGTGGAGAAAATGGAACCCTTATTCACTGTTGGTGGGAGTATAAAATGGTGCAACCACTATGGAAAGGTGGTATGGCGCCTTCTCAAAAAGTTGGAAATAGAAATACCATTTGACCCAGCAATTCCACTACTGGGAATATATCCCAAGCAGATATACACACCCAAGTTTGTTGTTGCTTTGTTCACAATAGCAAACAGTTGGAAACAACCTAAGTGCCCATCAACAAATGAATGGATAGAGAAGCTGTATATTCACACAATGGAATACTAGGCTGCATAGATAAACTCATGAAATATTCCAAATGGGTTACCCTGGAGGACATTATGCTGAGTGAATATCTGTCACAAGTGGATATATACTGCATAGTGCCACTGTTGTAAAACGGGACTGACATCAGGGTTGGGGGTAGACTGAAAACGATGGGATATATTATGTCTTGCGCCTTGAAACAGATGAGGGAGAGAGCTGTGTAGAAGGAATATATGATTAGATATTATGACAGGAGTCCAGAACAAAGGCTGCATAGTGGAGTGGACTTGGGGGGAGGGATTGTATAGCAATGAAAGAATTTTACTTTTCAAAGAGAAGAGCAAACTGGGGCAGAGGAGGAGGGAGAAAAGTGCAACAATGAATGGAAATCCAAAGTCTGTAAATTTTCATTAAAATTAATTAAAAAAGACTGTTGGAACCCTGGGTAAGCATTAGCAAAAGAGAAGAATGTGGGTGATAAGATCTAATTGTAAAGCAAAGTAAGAGAAAGGAATAGCACTCAGACCTGCTGAATAGGAACCTCTTTTCAGTCTTCATAGTAAGTGCAAACTTAAGGTAGGTCTAAATTGTAAATTAAATGGCTGCCAGAGCATTTCTCATTTTCTGTCATGTCTTCCAGTCAAAACTGACTCACAGCTGACACTCCAGTGGTGTTTCGGTGGCGGTTATTTGCATGGGAGGAAAATTGCCCATCTTCCCCCTGCTGAGCCACTGGTGGATTGGAACCAGCGGAGAGGCTGCATTTGGGTTCGGAGTGCAGTTCCTGGTGGCTTTTTCCACTAGAGCTCCCTAAATAGTTGTTTTTGTCACCTGCCATCAGGCCCACTCTGACTCAGCAACCCTGCAAACAGAAAACTCGCCTTCCTCTCTGCCATCCTCATGATCTCCAAAATGCTTGAGCCCATTGTTACAGTCACAGTGTTGTATATGGATGGTAAAATATAAATTAGTGTCACTTCAATATTTTAATTTCTGCCTATAGGCCCCTTTATATTCAAACACAACACTTTTTTAATTATTAAATTTTATTAATTTTAATGAACATTTACAGAGATTTTGGGTTTTCATTCATTCATTGTTGCACTATTTTCTCTACCCTCCTCCCCAGTTTGTTTTTTCCCCCTCTTGAAAGTCTGTTTTAATTGTCCATTTGCCACAGTGCTTGTCAAAGCCAGTTCTGATTAATCTCCTTTGTCAGTGTGTCCTTTGCCATTCCCTATCACTCCTCCCTGAGAGAGATTTCACCCTGATTCATAAGAAAAAGGGGACGGCGTATTTTCTTAGCTACTTCCTGCTGAAAAGGGACAAACAACATTTTTGGATTGAAAAAGACAACTTCTAGCTTCTTGTGCCTTCTATAGGTCAGCCAGTTTTAGCAAAACCACCTTGGAAGTTCTGACAGTTCAGTTTGATGTTGACCTAAACCTTTGCTTCGGAATGAATCATTCTCATTTGTACTGAGAATTTACCTATTTTCTGGTTGTTTTTTTTTTCTTTGTCCATAACTATCTATATAATGTTCTCTTTTCATTAATTCTTTGCAGTTTTCTTTCACTCAGCATCTTAGAGTTTGGGATTCTGTTAAGAATCTGTTGCTTGCATATATTCAGATTTTGGGAACTCATTGCAAGTACTAGTCCTGAATTTGAAATAAATGACAGAACTGGGGCCAGATGAAAATAAAAACACCAAGTCTTGCAGACCTTTGTTTTGCTGTTTCTTTTCTATCTCTACTTCATCCTGAGCTGCTTCACCTTTGTACGTTGTTCATAAAAATAGTATATAATTTAGTTTTTAACTAAAATTTTTATCTTACCTTAATATTCCAGAGCATTTGTTGTTCTTTTGTCATAAACAGTTAAGTGGACCATGACACCTCCACTCAGTACACTGGTTTCAAAGAAAATTAATTTTACTGATATTTTCCTATAATTTCTCCTGTGCTATTAAGTGGCCATTTCTCATTTATTCAGTTTTATATATTTATTCAGAATTAAACTGAGCATTGTTGATTTCTGTACCCTGAATTTGGGGAAACTCATGTAGGTCTACTTTGACATCTAGGTCTGTGGAAGTTGGTGATCTAATCTAGGGCTTGCTTAGCCTTTCCAACCAAAGGCTGACTTGTGATCTGAGGTGATTTGGTGTTTGTTTTTTAAAGCCCAAAGAGAGCAGATATGCTATCCTGGGTTAGGAAAGTTCATGAAGCAGTAGACTTCATCTTCCATTAACCTGTCTGGCCTTTAGTGAAGTTGAGAGTGTTGACAGTGTCCTGAGCCCTGTTGGCAGAAAACATGGATCAGGAAGAGAGATACCATTGGGCAGGAGACCAGGTCCTGAGCATTTCAGCAGTTTGCAGAGGAAAGTGATATGAAGGGACAGCTGCATTTCAGTCTCAACCTAGATCTGAGGAGATCAAGCCTTCACTTCTCTTGGAGGAAAGGGAGAAGAAAGGAAGCCGAGGATTTAGCAGGGTAAGTTACTTTTCCATCAACCTGTCTGCTTGCTTAGTTTATAGTTGAGTGAAATGTTTATCACACCCAGGAGTGTTAATCACTAACTAAGCAGCTGAATGTAGTCAAAGTAGCACTGTTCTTAAGATATTTCTCCTTTTATTTTCTTTGTTTCCTGGTCCCTTTTGAGGAACCCCAATAACTATTTTCCCTACCTATCCAAGACGTTTTGGGTTTGCTGGTGAATTAAAAAATACATGGTTTCTCCTGGTCTGGCAATAATGAGATGACCATGGTAATTTAGGGACCTCACAGGTAAAACCTGGCACTTTGGGTGGTAAGAAAGAAAAAAAGACTAGAGACTTGGCCACGTAAATAGACATATTTTTATTTGGAATTTGGAGATGAAGAAGAATGTTCTGTGGTTATCCAGTTCATTTTTTTCTTTTATATCCTGGGAATAAATTATCTGAAGACTCTGAGAATGACCAAGGGGGTGTAGGGTGTGTGTATGATGCAATAGTTGATTTCTGGTTTGTTTGGTGGGGTTTTTTGTTTGGGGTTTTTTGTTTGTTTGTTTTCAAGATACACTATGAGCTCTAGAAAATTCTTAGAGCTTATTGCAATTCTCTGTCTTTTCCCTTTTTCCCTTGTGTCTATTTTGTTTATTTTACTCCTACTCCCCTTCTTAAAGCTTGGAGTTTTAACCTTTCTTTGCTGAAAAGTTAGAATCAGGTGACCCACACGGGGCCTGGGGCTCAGATATTTAGATGTTAGGTAGGTAGGTAGGTAGATGATAGATAGATAGATAGATAGATAGATAGATAGATAATAGATAATAGATGATAGATAGATGATAGATGATAGATAGATAGATAGATAGATAGATAGATAGATAGATAGATAGATAGATAAAAAGAAAGAAATGCAAAGACCTGGCACTCTCTCCTGCCTTTTTACCTACTTCCTGTCAGAAAGCCAGCATATTTGTGTCATAAGCATACTCTGTACACAGAGACAGCCATGACATTTCACTAACACCTCCTCAAGTTGTGTGAGCTATTTGACTTCGAGCCATTTAGACTAGTCTCTATCTTGAAAGCCAAGAGTTAATCTTCCATTGGAGGAAAAGCTCTCCTTGAAAATGGAGTTGTGAGGCAATAGCTTTCTGGCCTTAATTAGCTTCTATTACGGCAGAAAGGCTTGTGGTTGGATGGCATAAGGATATTTATAACTCTTGGGTTTAAGACCCTAGAATTTTCTCAAAGATATGTATCCTCCATATCTATAAAGAGAAGTTGAATCTTTTCTGTCAAGAATTAAGGTGTTATCTTGCTGGAAGACAAATGGATAGAGCTGACAAATTTTTTCTAGAGATGCTATAATTCTGGAAATGGCATGAGGATATATGTTGATTAAAAGTGGAGGGAAGTTGTGGAAATGGGATGTGAAGGGCAAATTCAAATACCTGCCCATTAGTAAAGGATAAGGCCTTAATCCCTCCGAATAGTATCTTTCAGTCCTGTTTCTTCATTGATAAAAATGAACTGGATATTGTTTACTGATGAACTTTGCTATCACTATTTTGTGAATTCACCCTGGGACTAAGGAAGAGATTAATAGAGCGGAAACATCTAGATGGGAAGAAATAAAGGAATTAAAAACTAATTTCTTCCACTAGGCAGAGAAGCAGTGGTTTGCTGGGACCTTACATAAGATATTTATGTTATCTGAATGGTTTAGGGTTTTGTTTTTTTCCCCATCTACCCTTCAGCTGAATGTTTTGGGAATTTTTTTTATGACCTCCCTGATCTGAACTTTAATAGGTATTAAAACATGCTAAAACCAGACTTCTCTTTATCACTCACTAGTATTTCCTGTGACAGGGTGAGTTGAGGGGACTGCAAGAAAGTGAACAATTCAGCCAAACAAGTGAAAAAGGATTTATTAAGGCAATAAAACAGAGGCTTACGGGTAAGAGTTAAAGTAAAAAAGAAAAAAGAAAGTTCCCCTCTTTAGGCTCCCAGTGTCTTGACTAGCCCATCCTAGGGATTTGTGGGGCTGATTGTGATTTGTTTCCCCTGCATTCCTGGGGAGGAAGATACTTCCTGGTATAACCGCCCCTTCCCCCCCAACTTTTTTACTTCTGCCTAAAGTACTATCACCAGGTTCCTTACCACTCAGTTTGTTGGGGCAACTCTTTTACATTCTTTTCCTGTTTCCCTTGAGAGACCCAGCTTCCAGCCCTCTCATGAGCATGAGAAAGACCAGGTAGCAGCAGTTCTACCCCTTAGTGGGTATCTCATTTACAGTAGGGCCAACCACTGTCAAGAGTTTTAAATCCTCTATTGTCTAAAAGGAGCCCTGTAGCATAGTACATAATCCTGCTCAACTTGGGTATTTTCCTTCCTCCTCTCTTTTCCTCTTTTCTTCTTCTCCCTCTTTTTCTTCCTGTCATCTCCTCTTCTTCCTCCTCCCCCCTCCCTCCCTTACTTAGGTGAAATGCACTAAAATAAAAGGAAATATTTAAAAATTAAAAAGAAGGGAAGAGAGAAGAGAGCAAAGATTCATAAATAGAAAGGTTGGTGAAGGGAAAAGTAAAGTACAATGAGCATTTGATGAGAAATTATAATTAATTGTATGGATCAACTGTAGTGCTTGAGATAAAATGTATACAAATTATTGAGTTAAAATAAATTAAAAAGAACCACAATAACAAACCAAGAAAAAAAAAATGAACATTTCAGTGACATTTAACATATTCACTGTGTTGTACTATTGCCATGTGTCTAGTTCTAAGCATTTTCATCACCCCAAGTAAAATCCCACTAAGTCATTATTCCCCACTGGTTACGCCCAGGTCCTAGTAAACAATTTTCTCTGTGGACTGAATCTTAGATGATTGAACTCTAGATGTTTCCTATCAGTGTAATCATAGCATAAGGTTTTGAGGTTTATTCACATTGTAGCATGTGTCAGTATTTCATTCAATTAGTTGTTGCATGGGTATACCACAATTTGTTAGTCTGCTCATCAGAGTTGATAGACATTTGGGCTTTCTGTCTTTCAGCTATTGTGAATAGTTCTGTTGTGGACAGGTGCTTATTAACCTTGTGCTTATTTGAATTGTTTTCCATTTACTTAGATTCATACCTGGAAGTGAGATTGCTTCTGGGTCATATGGCAATTCCATCTTCTTTTTCCTTTTGAGGAACTGTCAAACTGTTTTCTTTTTTTATCAATCCCTACTATTTCTATTCTTAAATTTTTAAAATAAGTAAACTTGCATTTATATATGGGAAATAGAATTGGTACAAAAAGAAACAGGAAAAATCCTAGATGCTCAAATCATGTTGCAGTTATGAGCAATGTCTTTGTCTTTGTCCCGCTGGATGAAAAAACCACACTTTGCAGCATGCTCATGCTTCTGTTGAGCCCACCTTTTTTTTGAGCCCACCTCTTCATGGCCTCTACTCCTTGGTGGTGGACATGACTGGCTTGGTGGTGTTAGCCACGAGGGCTCAGTACGGATGGTAAAGATCCCTTTTTAAATCTTTTTTTTAATTATTATTTGTGTGTACCGTCAAATCAGATCTGACTTGTACAGGAGGAGATTGTCCCTCCTTCCCCATCAGAGCATCTGGTGGATTCGAGCCATGCGCCTCTGGGATTGTAGTGCAGCTTCTTGCCACTAGGCCACCAGAGCTCCCCCTAAAGGTCTGTTTTTATCAAACCTGTTCCATCTCAATGCTTTTCCTTTTCATGATTAATCACTGTTAAATTTTTTTTTAATTTTTTTCTTTTTTTACTGGTCAAGTGAAGCAGTGGTAGTGGAGAAGAAACAAAGAAATCTGTAACTGGCTGTGATCAATTAGTTGTGGCCTCCACTGCACTCGGACCATCACTGTTAAATTTTAAATAAGCTCCGCCAGAACTTTTTCTAAGCATTTGTGGTATACTCATTTACATTATATCTAGAACTTTATATGTGATACACATATATGCTTTTATAATGCTTTTTCTCAGTTTTACAACACACATACTTATATGTAGAAATTTTACGTATGACAAACATATAAATGTGTTAATATGTAGTTTTACCCTTGTATTTTTCATAATTGCCTGTGGTTAATAATAAATAGATTCTAAATCTTACTGATAATTGTGAAGGACCTAGACCTGAAAAGTCAGAATGGGAAATAAAATGTCTGTTTTAAGAAATAAATACATACACTGTATTTGTCCATCTTGCAGAATTCCATTCCATGTTTGTTCTACAGGGTCCCCAGATTCCAGAGGACAGAAGCCATGGCTCCACGGTCCCGACAACAAAGGCAGAAGAAAGCCTCCTCATTGGTGTCACCCAAAGTCATGACCCCACCCCAGCTTGTGACCACTGTGCCTTTGACCCTCTCAAAACCTGGCCCTAGTATTGATGCACTTGGCTTCTCCTCTTTGGAGAATAACGTTCCGGGCCTCTCCAAGCTCATCCTTCAAAAGTTGAACATGAAAAACTATGAAGAATACAAGTGAGTGTGTGGAAGAAGGATTGGTTAGATAGAATTGACTCCAGAAGATGAGAGGCTAGAATATTTGCAGTGAGAGTTTCTTATTTCTGATTGTTGGAAGTTTTATTACTATCAAAGAAACAGAATTTGCTCAAGCAAAGAGTAACTATGGGATTAAGAATTGTGCAGAAGACTGGCTAGATAGGGTACATGAGATAATTTGTAGACTTTTTTTTCCCTATTTCCATGCTGTCTTTTCAGGTTGGTGATAGATGGAGGTACCCCTCTACCTGGCTTTGGATTTCGATGTCTTCAGGAAATGTTTGAGAATATGGAGGACACATTTCGGTTCTGTGCTCACTGTAGAATACTGCCTAGTGGGCTTTCTGATTCCAAGGTCCTCCGATTCTGCAAGAGGTGACTTGTGGGGATGGGGATAATGGAGGGACACTCAGTAACGACCTTATTCTAAAACTTCATTCTTAGAGGAAATGTCCGAATGTTTTCAGAATAATTTCAGGTCCACTTCTCGTTTTGTATCATCCAGGCCACAGAGAGATTAGAATAGAAATGGGCTCCTGCCTGTTTTTTTTGTAATAGGCAGAGATGAGATGGAGAATCCTCCTCCTGAGTCGTGAAGGAGTAAGAAATATCTTTCTTAGGGAGAATGAATGTCAAGAAATGGACCGGTGTCAAGAAGGCAGCCTATAAACAAAAACCCCGTGGTGTTTTTTCTGTTTATTATGGTCAATGGCAACTTTTTTTTAATTTATTGAGATTATAATGAAAGTTTACAAAGAACTTGCATCTTCATTCCTTCATTGTTGCACGTTTTCCTCCCCGCCTCCTCCCCAGTTTGCTTTTTTCTCTGGGAAAGAGTTTTTCCGTTGTTATACAGTCGCCTTCCCCAAACCCCCATGGTTTTTAAAAAGAGATGTAAATGATGATGAGTTGCTCCAAATACAGGCATTACTCTGTCCTAAAAGAATAGTTATATTCCACCCTTCTAAAAAAAGTTAAGCCCCAAATTTGACATGCCATACATCATTCCTCTCAACTCTTATCCAGCGATCATTCTTACTAGGTGCAGGACTATCAATTCTCTTTCTCGATATCTTCATGGTATAGGAATATGTATTTCTATGGCTTATTCTCTCAGGTGCAGAAATGTATATTACTGTGGCCCAGAGTGCCAAAGATCAGACTGGCCAGAACACAAGAAGGTCTGTCAAGAGCTGTGTCTTGTGGCTGTGGACCGTCTCATGGAATGGCTGCTGGTTACAGGTGGAGTGGTGGTCCAAGGGAACATTGCTGTAGTGGTCAGGGTTGGACAAATTAAAAAATATTGTTATAAGAATATAGGTACTCTGTGTACCCTTTGGGAGAGGGAATATGAAGGGAATATTGTTGTTAGCAACAAAGGAATTTGGAAGTCAGGATTAGAACACTTATCCTTTTTTCCTGCAGGTGATTTTGTCCTGCCTTCAGGACCTTGGCTATGGCCAGCTGAAGCAATACAGGACTGGGATACCTGGTTTTCCATGTGGGGTTTACAACTAGATACTACACTGAATGCTGTGCTAGATTGTCAGGCCATGACCACCCTATGGGCCAGTGTAAGACGACCAAGACCAGATTCAGATGTTCTGCAGAGCTCTTTGAAAAGGCTATTGACAGATGCTCTATCCCGACCGTTGACAATAGGCTTAGGACTTCGGGTCTTGAGCATAGATCTTGGGAAGGCTGGAGGAAGCACAGTGCACATAGTTGGTGCTTCTCACGTGGAGACGTTCCTCACGCGCCCAGAGGACTATGATGAACTCACCTATATGTTTCCTGGACACCTTGGCCTCCGTGTGATCATGGTTGGCGTAGATGTGGCTACAGGCTTTAAACAGAGCACCTCACCTTCACCCCTGGAACCTGGCACAGTTCACGTTAGCAGCCACAGAGGTCTCTATCATGACGTCTGGGAGGAGCAGGTGGAGACTGGGCAGATAGCCCATCCAGATTTGGTGGTGGCATTCCATCCAGGTAAGACCAACAGAGTCAGGGATTTATTGGAGGACTCCCCAGGGACTCCAGATCGTGGATCTTTTATCACTGGCATTCTGTTCATTTGGTCAGGTTAAATATAATCTTGGTTGATCATTATTTGTGTGTGTTATGAATGAGTCCAGAATTTTCCATTGAATTTTCCTAGGCTGGGTGATGGTGGTAAGGCTAAGGACTGGGATGAACAAAGTGAGGGAGTAGCATCAACACAGTCATTCACTAAACTTGCGTAGGGTCTCCCTCGGTCCTTTACCTCCCTGTTGCCATTTCCATTTCTGTTCCCTAGGTTTCCATTCCTCTCTGGACTTGATGGAGGCCTGGCTGCCAACCCTGCTGCTGCTTCGCGACTATAAGATCCCAACACTGATTACTCTTTACAGGTTTGGACACCTCAGCGACTCACTCACATCCCTATATATAGTTTTTTTCCTTCTCCCTTGCTCATCTGCTTTCTGGTGATAATTCTCTGCCATCCCACTTGGCTTTCTCATCCTCCTGGAACAAAGTCCTCTGCTAGTTAATAAGAAATTCAGTGAAGTACTTGAGAACAAGATAGCCTTAACTAATCCAGCTTTGGGTAATGCTTGAGGTTAAGGAGTCCAAAAATGTCACAGTCTTTAGCACATTTTCCCTCTGTCACTCTCGTGGCCAGTAAAGTAATTTACCTTTTCTCTCCCCATAGCCATCAGGAATTGATAGCCTCTTTGCAGATTCTGGTAGACCTGGATACACACATCACTGCCTATGGAGCTAACCCTTTCACATCTCTCAAACCTGAACAAGTCTATTCCAACCCCAACAAGAAGCCAGTATACTGCAATGCCTATTATATCATGTTTCTTGGAAGCTCCTGTCACCTGGAGGAGAGACAACTGGAAGAGAAAGTGGATGACAGAGTTTAAATAGCTGAGCCAGGTCCTGACTGGATGTTTGGAAAGTAAGGAAGGTTGTGGTGAAATTACTCTCCTACTGCCAGCTTTCTTGTTGCCAACTTTGAAATTCACTATATCATAAACTTCATCTAGAGTCCAAGTAAAAATTCTAAGCTGAATGACAGCTCCTATGACATGACATGTTGCTAAGAGATTACATTGATTCTAGGAAAACTAATTTGGATATAATGAGTGAAAAGAGGACCTGCTATGTATCTTTCTAACTATTTCTGTTGTAAGAAAGTTGTAATTCTTAAACCAAATGTTTGTGTTGTCTACTATTGGTAAATGAGAAGACTTCTATATTACTCTGCAATAAAAACTTTTATCCAGCAAATTTGGGCTAAAGAACAGAGACATATCAGTGATTTAAAATGGTACAAAATGAACAAATCGAAAAGGGTTTGGAACATGGTGTTTGTAAAGCTTTTGTAAAGCTACTAGTTGTTAGGTGCTGTCAAGTTCTGACCCTATAGACAACAGACCCAAACACTGTCCTATCCTGTGCCATCCTCATCATCTCTCAGAAACTTGAGCCCATTGCTTCTGTCACTATGTCTATCCATGTTGTTGAGAATCACTTTTACTGATCCTCCACCTAATCATGATGTCCCTTACCAAGAAATAACCTTCCTAGCAACATGCCTAAAATATGTGTGACAAAGCTTCACCAACCTTGCCTCAAGGGAGCACTGTGGCTGCACTTTTTCCAAGGTATTTCAGTGTGTTCTTTTAACACTCCATTGGATGTTCAGTACTCTTCTCCAATACCACAGTTCAAAGGCATCAATTATTCTTCTATCATCATTATTCCTTGTCCAATTTTCAGATACATAGCAAGTGATTGGAAAGCCTGAATCAGACACACCTTAGTCTTCAAACCGATGTCATTGCTTTTCAGTATTTTGAAGAGATCCCTTACAGTGGAATACATCTCCTGATCTCCTGACCCCTGGTACCAAGAGTTTTTGGATTATTGATTCAAGCAAGATGAAATCATTGACAACTTCGATTCTCTCTCCATCTGTCATGATGTTGTCTGCTGGGTCAGTGATGAGGATTTTTGTCTTCTTGATGATGAAATGTAATCTATGTTGAAGTCTTTATTTCAGCACCAAATGTTTCAAGTCCCCTCCACTTTCAAAAAGCAAGATTGAGTCATCTGCATAATTGTAAAAATTATGTAAAGTTTACTATTTTGTCTTTTTTCAAGAGAAATACCTAATTTCCCTCTTTTCATCTGTAGACTTCTCTTTCTAATACAGTCTTTCCCTCCAGAGTTTTAATGAAATATTGTGGGGTATGTCAGACTTCACTTTAACTTAATGGCATTATTTGTCACCCGCTCTAGAGTATAATAAAACTCAATTTAGAGCTGCTTGAGCTATTTTTCTTTTCTTTCCTATCTACTGGCAAATATTACTCATTTGTACATGGCCTTTCTAAAGAGGTGCTTTCTCTCTTGCCAAGGAAGCATCAGCTTTCTGTTTGGACCTGCCTGCCACTCCACCACACCCTTGTTTCACAACTGTCTTCTCTTTCACACTCTGAGGATCAGAATATTCCTTAGGTATCCATCCCAGCAATCTTGCCATGACTGCCCCACCTCATTGGTGTAGAATTGGAATCAGCTTAGCTGACCCTCTTTTGAATTTCTGGAGCTATAAGTCACACTGAAGGAGATTGTCCATCTTTCTCCCAAGGAGCCTCTGGTGGATGCAAACTGCTAGAGAGGCATGACTTCTGGGTTAACAGTGTAGCTCCTTATTGACTGTGCCCCAGAGCTCTCTCAGATATAAAGACACACTCATTCTTGGATGAGTAACACTGGATTTTCTGTATTCATGCAAATAAGTTATGTCTACCATGTGGAAAATACTGTGTTGCAACCTTTGGGAGATAAAAAGGTAAAGGCACACTGTCCTTACGCTTCGCCTCAGAAATGAGATTCTAATACATATATAAATGAACTTTATTATGGGATATCATATGGAGTAAGGACTGTGAGAGACTCTTCAAACCTGGAATTTCAATTACCCCTGTAACTAGCAGCCAAACAGCACATCTGTAATGTGATCAGTGACACCAGGAAGGAACACAGTCCTTAGATTGCTCAACCTTACAACATTTGCCCAGAGGCAAAGCTCAGAAGGTTGGAAGAGTTAGGAAGGGACAAAGGGAAATGAAGACAAAGACAGTGTAAGAAGAATGTGGACACTGTAATCAGGGCTATAAAACTATTCTGGAGGCCTTTTCTTATCTCCTTTCAAAGAGGAAGGTTCATCCCTTTGGGAATGTAAATTTCTAATATAACTATTTACCTTCAAAAAAACCAAACCACAAAACTCTATGTGAAATGTTTAATGGAAAATCAATTTGGGAACTTTAACTTAAATCACAATAAAAGGTTTAAAAAAGTTAGCAATCGCTTTTCTAAGCAATAGGAAGGTTTTGTGAATTGGAATTTTATTAAGCAGATGGAGGGCAAGGCGTTCCAGCTGGATAGAACAAGAAGAGCAGAAGTTCAGAGACAGAAATACTGGAGGCGTTTTGATGTACTGCCTAAAGCTAGGTTCTCCAACATGCCCAAACCACTGAAGTATATACATCTAGAAAGAGAGAAAGTTCTAAAGAGCAGAAATGTCAATTTCAAGACTTTGGGGCACCTGATTCAAGCTTGGTACAGTCACTTGCTTCCTATGTGTATGCAAGTTGGACACTGAATAAGGATGACCAAAAAAGAATCGAGATCTTTGAATTGTGGTGTTGGCAATGAAGGTTGAATATCCCATGAACCAGCAAAAAAGCAAACAAATCTGTTTTGAAAAAAGTGCAACCAGAGAGCTGCTCAAGGATGGTGAAATAATCATCTTACTTACTTCGGCCATGTTTTCAGGAGGAACCAGTTCTTAGAGCTATCAAGCTAGGAAAGGTAGAAAGTTGGCAAAAGAAAGGAAGACCTTTAACAGGATCATTTGACACAGTGACTACCACAGTGGACTTGAACATGACAGAGATTGTGAAGATGGTGCATCGGGTTTCTATGAGTTAACTTGTTGACACCTAACAACTATAGTTCCATGACCCATTTCCTTGAAATTTTACATACAAATAGGTTTTGCCCCTTTGGAGAGCCCATCCTAAGACAACTTGTGCCAGAAGTTGAACAAGATCATAAATATGAGTTTCCTGAATTGATTCTTGAGAGACCTGGGAACTTGACTCTTTTTTCCCTAATCATAAGCTATGCTCCTCTCCTGATGCCTGGCCACCAGAACTCACAATACACCACTTTTATTTCCTTCCCTTGTACCTGGCAACCAGAACTGTTCTGTACATTAATGTATAGAAAGACCTGCTTTTGTGAAAAGTCCCTAGCCACACAAACCTCCTCCCCTTTATAAACCCTCTTTCCTTATCACTCTGACACTCTCACATTCTGGCCAGTGGAGGCCAGCCAATAAACTGTTTGTACCCTAACTGAGTGGTGTCAAGTCTATCAGTTCTCAAGTTTGACTAGTCTTAAAGAAAGATGTTGCTAACTTTGCCTTTGTCAGTAAAGAGGACATGGCTAATCTATAAGTAATTGTTAGGTGCCATCTAGTTGAGTATGACTCATAGTGACCCTATGAACAAAAGATCTGAACCCTGCTCTATCCTGCACCATCGTCACACCTCCTGACACAGAAGAGCCCACTGCAGCAGTTACCATGTCAGTCTTCCTGGTTGAGGGTCTTTCTCTCCTTTGCTGACCCTCCACCCTTCCCAGCACCATGTAAATCAACAAAATGTTACCACCAATGGATCAAAACCTCAGTATTTCATGAAGTATTATATGGTCAAGAGCCAATGGTAATAAATTCAAGCTCCCCTGAAAGCACTGGTAAAACATAAGGCCCCAGGAATTGGTGGGATACCAATTAACATGTTTCAAATTGAAGAAGCAGCCCTACATGTGCTTACCAGTCTATACCAGGAAATTTGGAGACAGCGTCCTGGCCGATTTACTGAAAGAGATCCATGTTTGTTCCTCTTCCCAAGAAAGGTGATCCAACAGAATGTGGAAATTATTGCACAATATCGTTAGTATCTCACGGAAGCAAAATACTGGTGAATATCTTTCAAATAGGCAGACTTTCAAGCTGGACTTATGAGTGGCACCAGGATGATACTGCTAATGCCAAATGGATCCTGTCTGAAAGTAAAGAATAGCAGAGGAATGTCTATTTATTGACTATGCAAAGGCATTTGACTGTGTGGATCATAACAGATTAGGGCTAATATTGAGAAGTGCTTGCTGCAGAAGATTAGAGACTACAGATTTCAGTATGGATTGCATCTCAATATCAAGAAAACAAAAATTATCACCAATGAACTGATAGGTAACATCATGATAGATGAAGAAAAGATTGAAGCTGTCAATGACTTTGTCTTACTTGGGTAATCAGTACTTGGTACTAGCAGCACTACAGTGAGGCTTGAGTCCCTGTGATGGCAGGAATCAAGTGGTGGCACTTCATCCACAAAGACAAGGTGGGCATGATTATTGTGATTTAAAACAGAGTCAAAGCAGTAATCAGAAAAGTCTGACTAGGGTGATCTTACAGAGTTGTCTTCTTAGTTATGGTGTCCCTAAGAATTAAATACATGGGCAATATAAATATTTGATTAAAAGAATTCTAGGCCAACTGAATGAGAGTCTTATTTAAATAGACTAAAGATTCATGGCCCCTCAATCAAGTCTCAGCCAGTTTATAGATTCACAACTCCTTTAATGAAGGAAAAGTTGAGTATGAGCCTTACTGAACTATGAAAAATATATAATGTTTATCTTTCCCCAGGCTACCACAAAGAGATCTATAACAATTCACTGGAGTATTCATTGGGGAAAATAAAATAATTAGACTTTTCAGGGTTTACTGGGTAATGTCGCTGAATTAAAATTAATTCTCTAAAAATAAACTAAACTT